CTTCCCCAGCAGAGTAGTGAGATGGAAAGTTCAAAGGTCACAGGTCATCTTGGACCCAGAGAGGATTCCTCGGAAGCCCCGGGGCCAGATGGGCGGAACCGGAACAGGATATGGGTCTATGGAGGGGAACGAACCCGAGTACCCCAGGTCTACCCTGCACAGGCTGCCTTGGGAAATCCCACTGACCCTCTACAGGAACATCTGCCATGTCACAAGGGAACTTGGTTTCCAGAGAAGTGACCTTGCTCCATAAAAACAGGACCCTTGGCCACCTGGTCTGGTGAAGCGGGTCTGGGCTCAGCCTTGGGGACTTCAGGGAGGGGTAACCTTTGTACGGCATGGGCTTGCACCAGCACGGTGCGGTGCTAAGTTTTATCTGTGTGACCTCCTGAGTTTGTCACCCCACCTCACCCTGCAGCTAGGGTGGCCCTACCCTGTTACCGAGGCCGGGAGAGGGGAAGCAACTGGCTCAAGGTCAAGTTGGTCCCAGGGAGCTGCAGACTCTCTGCCTCCCTCACTGTCTGCGATGCCCCGGCTGCCGGCTGCCCGCCTCGGGGGAGCTGCCCAGCCTCTCCCGGTCACTAGATCCCCCAGATTCTGTTCAAGTTACCTCCTTTTGGCAGCAATGACTCCATTCAGGGTTTGCAAGGAATCCTACCTCTGGGACACGCGGGCGAAGGAGGAAAACCCAGGCCAAGTGTTAAACAGAGGGCTCTGTTAGGACGCGCCACACTGAATGAAAACCGAGAGGTGCGGGACTTTTTTTTTCCAACAGCATCCTGCTGTCATTTCCGTGTCCCTCGTGGGTTGGACCTAATTAATTGCCAGCATGCAACCCACCCAAGGAGGAGATGAGCTGCGAAGGCCTGCGGCGGGCGAGTCGCTTTGTCGGTCTGAGCTCAGGGGTTGAGTTCTCACGACCACCCCTTGAGCCCACCTCTAGCCTTGGCCCAGGGGCTGCGTCTCTGGTAAAGGGACCCTGTTTCCCATCCAGCCCTGCGCTCTAGAAGGGCCGTATAGCTGGCACCTTAATTATTCATGGTGTGTTGGCAAATGAAGTCACTCGCAGTTCCAATGTCCAGAGGTGGAGGAAGCGTTCAATTCCAGAGAAGTGTCACCTCCCGGGGCTTCGCTGGCCGGGCAATAACGCTGGGGGCAGATCTCTTGCGAACAGGCGGGAGATCCGCTTTCACTC